CCCGCACTCCAATTTCAATTGGAGTGCGGTCCCACACTCCCTTCAGAGAAGGGAGTGTTGGAGTGTGTGTGCGAAGGGGGGTGGAGTGTGATTATCACTCCCCCGGATCAGATAAAGGTAATAAAGATTTTGCGTTTGAGCGAGTTGTCATCAACCAGAGAGAGGGATGGTTCGAGAAAAAAAAAGTGTAAGAGTCGCGTTGTGACTCTTCACTATCGTAGCTTTAAGCGTCGAGACCGGCAATGTAGCCGGGAGAGAACTTTTCTAGAACCAAGGTATGTCTTTTATATTTTTTATAGTCTAGTTCAGTAGAATGAAATGTAAGAGTTCTCTCAGTACAATATAGTCAGATAAAATGATGAAGAAAGAAAGAAAGAGAATGAGATCAGAAATAAGAATGAAAATGGCTCACCTAGTTCAGTAGAATGAAATGTAAGAGTTCTCTACCAAACTAGGAAGGGGGAGGATGATTGTAGTTTAAGTAGTGATGATAATGGTTCGTGATAGTCCTTGTGAAACCTGTATACGGTGAGGTTTCACACTCATTCTTTTTCGCACACCCCCGTTCCCTTGAATTGGTCAAACAATTCCCAACCACAATCCTCCTCAATTGTACTTGTAAAAAAAAAGTACAACATGCCCCTTCTTCATATGGTTGGAATGAATTCATGTAACCGGTCGTTCACTGTTGCTTTGTGTTTCCTCTCGGCTGAAAAGGAGGCAAATTATACGTGGGCCCTGGAGCAATCCCATCTGGCAATGGATAAAGAATCACCCTCAGTCATTGTCACCAACCATGAACAAGCGGTTATAAATGCAATTAAGAAAGTCTACCCGAATGCCGCCCGTATCCTCTGCTCTTGGCACATTTTCAAGAACATTGAAAAGAATTGCCGCAAGCATTTCACCAGCGAAGAGAAATGGGATGCATTTCACTTGGCATGGAAGCAATTGCGGCTGTCACCTACTTTGAAGGAGTATGAGGAGAATTACGCCATTCTATCCAAGACGTGGAATCCCAAAACAGCCGCCTACTTGATCTTGGTTGTCCTTCCTCTGAAGGAGCATTTTGTCGCATACTTGATCAATCGGCACCCGCACTTTGGTAACCTCACGTCTAGAGTTGAAAGTCTCCACGCATACCTGAAATGTTTCATCAACTCCTCAACCGGCTCCTTCTCAGCCGTCATCAAGCAAATGAAACAGTCTCTTGAGAGCCAGCTCCATGAAAGATACATCAAATCTGCGCAACATCAATACAAACGACTGACGGGCATGCCTCCTTTGATTGCCAATCTTAACGGAATCATCTCCCACTTTGCCTTGAAGATAGTTTTTGCATTTCACTTGGCCAAGGCTCCGACAACAACATGTACAGGTAACTACTCAGCTTACATGGGGATTCCTTGCATCCACCAAGTCCATGACGCCACACGTGAGGGGGCCAAGTTCTCCGCAGATGATTTCCATGCTCAGTGGCATGTCAAGACTGATCTAGCTGTAAGTTGCTGATTCAGCATCAAGGGAATCCCAACTAAATTCACAGGACGTTTCTGATTTATTTTGTTCACTCATCTCATCATTTGACAGGTGCAACTGAGTGAAGCCCAAGACGCCACGGACACACGGCAGAAGACCCATGAAGATGCATTCCTCAGCAATGTATTATCAAAGTTCCAATCCCTTCAACCTGGCGAACAACACTTCATGCTAGGCGAATTTCGCAAACTCCTCGACAGGACACATGCGACCATCGCTCTTGAGGAACCGAGGTTTGATAAGAACCATTGATTCAAGGGCTGACCCAAAGGCTCCAAACGGAAACACAAATCGACGTCTTCAACCAAGAGGGACCCATCTGGATTTGAGTACGTCAAAGGGCAGAAGAAGAAACGCGGCAGGCCAAAGAAGGTGGCCAAATTGGACGAGGGGCCCAAGCGCAAACCTGGGAGACCAAGGAAGAAACCGGCCAAAAAGGATGACACAGATGAGTCAGAGGTGTGCATTGCTTATATAAATCTGAAGATTTTTTCTGCTTCTGATTCATTTTTGAGTAGGCCATGGAAACAGACAAAGAGAGTGAGGATGATGCTTCAGATGGAATTGGAGCCCTTTGTGAAAACATATTCACCAACGAGGAGCACTTGGAAGAAGAACCCAAGCTACCAACTGTTACAAAACCCTTACAAATTAGGCCAATCAAATTAGTCAAGCCAAAACCGGAACCCATCACTGAAGCAGATGAACCTGACGAAACTCCTTTGAGCAAGGCACTTACTTGAAGTACACACAAGAATGTGGATATTGATCTTGTGAGTCAATTGTTTTCCCATGTACTTAATACTTTTCCTGATTGTTCATACCCTCTGTTTCCCTCTTGAACTTTTGTTAGTATGAGTACAAAGACAGCATCAAGCCAGCAGGAGTAATACAACACATCTTACATGTTAACAACGTCAAAGGCGATGGGAACTGTGGCTTTCAAGCGATTGCGGTCAGCTTGGGCCGCAAGTCTGACGAATGGGACTCAATCCGCAAAGAAATGAAGAAGGAATTTGAGTTGAACAAGGCCTATTCAGACCAAAAGTTCTTGGATAACGTATGGGGAGCAGGGGATGACCAAAAGGACATTGTCGATTCTCTTGCATGGAGAGACAAGGAACAGCAAGCCCCCCTCAAGTACTGGATGACGCTCCCAGCCCATGGATATTTAATAGCTGATACGTACCAAAGACCGGTTATTTTATTATTGGAACAGATGCCTGCGACTTATCTTCCTCTTTTGCATACTCCCAAAAAAACCCTCCAATCTGTCTGATCCTTTTACCAGACTATTCTCATTTCATTTCTTTCACTTTCAAGGCTGAAATATGGCCATGCCCCAGGATTGATACATTTTGGAGACACTATGTCAGGGATGCAGCGCTGGGTTGGGAGGATTGGATTCAATCCCACGTTGAACTGGGTCAAGAAGTCTTGTACCCACCTATCAGAAGATCTTTGCGCTTCAAAAAGGCCCCTGTTGACTTCGATTAATTTTTTATTCATTACTGTTCTCCGTACCTTCCTCTGATTTCCTGCTATTGTCCCTCTTCTCATTTTAAAATCTAAACTACGCTCTTTTATGCCCACACTCTTTTGTAAATCCAAATTTGGCCTCACTAGAATATTATAGCATTTTTTGCCTTTTGCCATTGATAAATTCAAGTTTGGAAGGTTGAATAACCACCGGGAACTTTCCACTGTGCTTGCTTCAATAAATTGAGTGGGAGCCAAATTTAAACACAAAGGAATCATTGTTATGAAAAATGACTTTTACCATTAAATTCTACACCTTTTAAAGTGTAGGAAACAAATTTACAATGTCAAAAAATAATGAAAAACAAGCCGCTAAC